CTAATGCCCATCCTTATGCCTATATTTCTAGTTCTCATATTCTTAAGCTTCCTCCCTTGTATCATACTACATGTCTGCTATTGCTAATCAAAAGTTTAACCAGTTGTACCTCCAGGGATATCAACCTCTCCAAAACCGTCCAGAGGACTGCTATGAGGGCCCCCCACCAGGACACAGGAGCCTGAGGATCCTGCCCCATACAATGCCCCCCTGCTAGCAGGAAGCAGCTAAAGAGACCGATGCTCTGCCCCAATTCCTTATCCTCAGCCCCTACCCGCATCATTATTAAAGAAAAAATGGGGGAATGATAGAACAATAATGTCGCCATTTCTAAATCGTCATTTTACCCTCAGTCCTCACTTGAGAAACTCCCAAGGACAAATTCCTGTACTCTAAGACAGCCCCACCCCTAGAAGAGACTGCCGCGCATGTGCTAACTTCCTTAACCTTCCTCTTCTATAAAAGCCACACCTGGCCCAGGTTTGCTGCTGCGCCATCTTTTCCCCGGCCAGCCTGGCAGTTTGGGTCTGCCATTAAACTGTGCTCTAAGGATGCGAGACTTTTCTCATGACCTTCTTTGTGAGTGGCGTTTTTCCTAACAGACTTCATTAGTAAAAACTTTTACTCTTTTAACGACCCTGTTAGGAAATGAAAAAGAAGTCATATAGGGAGAAAATACTTGCCAAGCATACTAACATGGGAGGGGTTGAGACTTGAGTAGTAGAGTGCCTGCCTAGAAAGGACTTATACCCAGTGCATAAAAATAAGCTTATTTAGGGCTGATGAGTGGCTCAAGGAATGTCTGCCTAGCAAGCATGAGGCCCTGAGTTCAAACCCAGTACCACCCAAAACAAAAAACCAAAAACAAAAAAACCACACACACACACATATATGAATTAGTAAGATAAATCCAATTTTAAAACGAGTAAAAGATTCTAACAGATAGTTTATCATACAATATAGGAATGAGATGCCAACTATACAACACTCACCAAAATGGATAAAATAAGGACTAAGAAGATCTAGAGTTGGTAAGGATGTAGAGAAATTGGAACTCTCCTGCAGTGCTGGGGGCCAAGGGAAAATGCATAATGGTATAGTCATTTAATAAATGAAAATAACTGAAGGTTATCTTCATGTGACAAAGAAGCTATTTATATTCTTCCATTCTTTTACAGCCTTGTTGGCTATTATATTGCTTATACTCTGCCCTAAGGTACGCACAGAGCATCAATACTTGTTATGAGCTGTCATCTTATTTGAGTCAATAAGCAGTAAGCCCTAGTGAAATAAATTTGTTATCCAACAGCCAAATGACAGTTTAAATATTTGATTCTGTCTTTTCACAGATATTTCTTTCTTTAAAATATATTCTTGAGCCAGATGTGGTGGCACACATTTTGTGATCCCAGCACTCAAGAAGCTGAGGTAGAAAGATCTTGAGTTCAAGGCCAGTGAGGGCTGCCTACCAGGACTGTCCCAAAAAACAAAACAAAACAACAACAAAATCATTCTTGCTTCTTACAAACCAGAGAATCTATGTATGTATCTAACAGCAACTCACTTCCAGGACTAGCATTCTATAAATGTATGCTATTAAGAATTTTTCTACTCTTTAGTTTACAGCAGTAAAAGCTATCTTGTTCTAGCACAAAATAACCCCCTCTATTCTCTTGTGGTCTTCATTAGTGGCATTACCATTTGTGATGACCAAAGGGATACTAAAAATATATTTTTAATCTTACTACTGTCTCTGAATAATGTTATTTATAACAAACAAAAACATTCTAATGACTACTATGAGGAACTAGGATATTATATTGATACATCAAAATCTCTGGTGTGAATAACATTTGGGTGAAGATGTATATACAGCTTTTATTGCTTTACTGTGCCTTAAAGACACAGGTTTTTTTTTGGGGGGGGGGCTGTGGGACTGGGTTTGAACACAGGGCTTTGTGCTTGTAAAGCTGGTGCTCTACCACTTGAGCCACCTCCAGCCCATTTTTGCTCTGGTTATTTTGCAGATGCAATCTTGTGAACTATTTGCCCCAAGCTGGCTTTGAATCATGATCCTCCTGATCTCAGCTTCCCAAGTAGCTAGGATTTACAGGCGTGAGCCACTGGTGCCCAGCTCACAGATGTTTCTTAATTCAGTCAAAATTTTGTCAAAAACCTCAAAACTTTCTATCACAGTAGGAAGTCACAAGCCATTTCTGTTTGGCTAGCATCATTACCTTAACTCAATATCATAATCATAGCAATATTACTAAATTAATACTGAGTTATAATTTAATAAGACCAGCATAACTAATTCAAGACAACCGCAGTGATAAGAAAATAAACATCCTTCTTGAAAGCAGAGGTAATTACAATGTCAAATCTTGCTTGACAGACTAGTAACTAAACTGACTCTTCAGGAAACATGAACTTTTTGGGTTTATGAATTGCCCTTCATCCCAAGGGTAGTATACATAAATATACAAACACAGTAACGGTGACATGTCAAAGGCATATTACAAATGTTAAGTGAAATAGCTCCCAATGGGAAAAGCCAGAATAAAGTATATCAGATTATAATCCAAGGTATAAACATCCAGTCACACTGATATAAATGATTGAATAAATGGAATAAACAAATCTTCCATGAAAAAATGCAGGTAGTTTATGTAGCTATTCTCTCAAAGCAATAGAGCATAATTCTTCACTCAGCAAGTATAGAGTAGGACATAGTGTCTTTCTTCCACAAGCATTTTTTTTTTTGCAGTACTGGGGTTTGAACACAGGGCCTATACTTTGAGCCACCAGCCCCTTTTTGTGATGGACTTTTTTGAGATAGGGTCTTGTGAATTATTTGCTGGGGCTGCCCTCAAACCATAATCCTCCTGATTTCTGCCTCCTAAGTAGCTAAGATTACAGGTGTGAGCCACTGGCACCTGGTCCATAAGCAGTACTGAAGGTAGGGAGGAGTAACTATACTGTGGAAAAACCTGATAAACACTGCCTCAGCCAGGTTATCAGAGTTAACATCAATAGTGATAAGTCACACTGACAGTATATACTCCTGATGTAATGAAAATGATGTTTTACCTCTTTAATTTTCCTCCTTAAAGCCCATACCCTCAGGCTAAGTATGAGAAAAACAGTAAAACAAATTCCAATATGGGGGTACCCTACAAATACCTAACAAGTACTCCTTAGAAATGTGAAGGCCATAAAAAACAAGGAAAAGTGTGAGAAACTGCCTAAGGAGATATGACTAAATGTGGCATACTGGATGGGCTCCTGGAATATAAAAAGGAAAATATATAAAAACCAGGGAAATCTGAATAAAATGTGGACTTCGGCTAATAATAATGGATTAATACTGGCTTATCATTTTTGACAAATGTACTATAATAAAAGTTATTGATAAGAGGAAACTGAAGGTATACAGGACTCTCCATACCAGTTTTGCAATTTTCCTGTAAGTAAAACTATTCTAAAGTTAAAAGTTCATTTTAAAAAAAAGTATTGTTACAGGAGCCTGTAACAATCCTAACTACTCAGGAGACAAAGATCAGGAGGACCATGGTTTGATGCCAGCCCCAGGCAAAAATTTCCTGAGACCCTATCTCAAAAAAACCCATTACAAAAAACAACAAAAAAACGTGCAGGGGGTGGGGGAGGGTGGCGTGGCACAAGGTGTAGGACCTGAGTTCAAACACCAGTATTGGGGGGAAAAAAAGGTCCCTAGGTGATACTGATAGTTTGGAAGACACGAAGCAAGAACTGCCTCCTATCTTTTCAGAGGAAGTATCTATCTCCCAATCACTTTACCTCATACTGATGTTCTGTCACAACATTTATTTCTACCTAAAATCCTGCCCCTCATTCATTCTGGTTTTCTTCAAAGTTCATGTGTGTATGCCATCCCCTATTCTTTCATTTTTATCAAAAATTGTTTCCAATCTACTTTAGCCATTTTCTAGTTTTCCTCTTCAGAACTGTTAATACCTTTTACCATTTTTGTACTGTGGTAATCATAATTTCCCTACTTTTTTTTATAAAAGAAAATCTATGCTGTTGTTTTACTTGCAATTTTTTCAAAATTGTGATTAAATATTTACAATGCAAAACTTACCATTTTATTCATAATGAGGCAGGAAGCCAGGGAGGGAGAAGGGAGATAAGGAGAGATAATGAGTGCAACAGTGAAACAAACAAACAAAAAAAATGGATTTGAGGAATGTCACCTGGGGTGAGACCAGAAAAGGGTCACCTCACCCCAGAGGTTAAAATGGCCAATGAAATAGCATGTGACCATGTATGGGACAAGCTATACTCCTCATTTCTGTAACCCACTCTAAATGGTATATAAGGAGAGCCCCCTTTCCTTTCGGGGCTCAGCCTCTGGATGCAAATCTTTTGAGTTGCTGCCATCCCGCTCAATAAATTTGCTTCCTGAAAGCTTTGGTGCCTCATCTGTCTGCCTGAGCTGTCCTACAACATTTCTGGAGGCTCGTCTGGGATCCAGTGGGTGGTGTTTTCACCTCCTTGCCGCTGGTGCAGTGTCCTTGGCCTGCCAAGGAGGTCTACCTCTGCCAGGCGCCACCAGATGTGTTGATCCAAGGGGAGGGAGACTCTCTCCTGGTGAACAAAGGAGGTAAGTTTCGGTTGCACAAAGGAACCTGGAAAGGCTCAGGAACCAATTTGGGAGCCCCATTCATCAGACTGGTAAGAACCCTGGTTCGAATAATAGGCCTGCTTTTAGGAGGCAGAAGGGGAGCCTGGTTAACTCCCAGAGACATCCTAATAACTACCTTTTGGGGTAAAACCTTGTTTTTCAGGTTCAGGGTGAGGGGTGGAAGTATTGGATGTCTGTATGTGAACATGTGTGAATGATACATAGCTTGGCTACAAAGCCAGTGTGGAATCCTGATCCATGGGTCAATGGTGAACTCATATGGTCTACGGTGAGCCCTAATAGGGCCTCCAATCCCGGGTTTATATGGACTCACCATGGCTTGGAGACACCTAAATCCTGGCGACCACGAAGCAAGTGGTGTTATTTTTCTCTGTGTGCCAGAAAGGAGGACCCCTTACCTCCTTTCCACAACCCCTCATCTCTTCCATTTCTGTCTCTGTCTTGATGTCTGGTAACAGAAGGAATGGGAGGAGGTCAGAGTAAGAACAACCCCCTAGAGTGCATGCTTAAAAACTTTAAAGGGGGATTTAAAGGAGATTATGGAGTCAAGCTGACTCCTGGCAAGCTTAGGACCTTTTGTGAAATAGACTGACCTGCTTTTGGTGTAGGATGGCCCTTGGAGGGGTCATTAGATAAAGTCATAGTCAAAAGACTTTTTGAAGTAGTTGCAGGGGAGCCCGGACACCCAGAACAGTTTCCTTATTGATTACTGGCAGGATGCAATCCTCAGTCAGCCTACATGGCTAAAGCCCCACCTAGAGGAAGCATGTACGGTCATGGTAGTGAAGGTGGCAGCAGCTTCCAAGTGCAGGGGAAAAGGTAAAAACAAGAGAAACCTATATTAGCAGGGAACCCTGAGGAGACCCTGTCCTATTATGTGCCACTGTACCATTCCTTCACCTCCACCCTTGGAAGGGAAAACATGAAGTAAGACATGAGTTCCTTTACCTTCCTGAATGCCCTGTGGCCTTGATGGGCAGAGCTTTGTTATGCAAACTAAGGGCACAGATAACTTTTGACTCTGATGGCAAGGCAGCCTTAAAGCTGAGGGTCTGAAGCCAAGATTCTAACTCTCTTGGTGGCAGAGAAGGAGGAATGCTGACTCTGTGCCTCTAAGAAAGGGATTCCTGAGATGCCTGAGCTTCCCTTTTAAGATTCCAGGAGTATGGGCTGAGGACAACCCAGTGGGCTGGCTCAGAATAGGTGGTGGTAGAATTAAAGCCAGGAGCCACTCCTGTTAGCCAGAGGCAATACAACATTCCTCGCAAGGCCCAATTTGAGATCCAAAAGCATCTTGCCAAACTATCTCTGTGTAGTCAACTCAGAAACTGTTGGTTTACACCTTGTGGTCCCAAATCCGTATATATTTTTGGGCCTTATCCCAGCTGAGGTAAAGTTCTTTACCTGCCTGGACCTTAAGGATACATTTTTTCTGCATCTGCCTGGTCCCACACAGCCAACCCATCTTTGCCTTCCAATGGGAAAGTTCTAGTACTGGAGAGAAGGGACAATTGACTTAGACTCAGATGCTACTAGGCTTCAAAAACTCTCCCACTATCTTTGGGACTGCCTTGGCATCTGACCTAAAGGCTTTCTTGGCCAACCACCATGCTGCACACTCCTCCAGTATGCAGATAAACTTCTGTTGGCTGGACCAACTCAGGAGGATTGTATGGAAGGAACTTGCAGCCTTCTCTCAATTTTGAGGAAGGCAGGTTTCCTAAAAGAAAGCTCAGATTTGCCAGGATACTATCAGATGCCTTGGTTTCACCTGTCACAAGGACAACGTAGACTGGTTTGTGACAGGAAACAGACTGTCTGTTCCACTCTGGCCCTGAAGACCTGTTGACAGACTAGAGAATTTCTAGGGGCTGCAGGTTTCTGCCCAATCTGGATCCCCAATTATTCTCTCTTGGCAAAACCCCTTTAAAGAAGCCACAAATGGGGGAGAACTGGAACCCATAATAAGGGCAAAGGAGCAAAAAAGCCTTTAAAGAAATTAAGAGGGCACTCACAAATACCCCTGCTCTGGGCTTGCCAGATCTAATGAAGCCCTTCTTCCTGTATGTACACGAGAGACTGGGGACAGCAAGTCTTGACCCAGCTGCTAGGTTCCTGGCATCACCCACTGGCTTAATTATCAAAGCAACTTGCAGTTTCCCAAGGCTGGTCACCCTGCCTGTGTGCTCTGGTGGCCTCTGCCATCTTGGTGACTGAAGCAGACAAACTTACTTTAGGGCAAGAACTCACAGTCCATGTTCTCCACTCTTGACGCTCATGGAATATAAAGGAAATCACTGGCTGACAAACTCCCCAAATCAAAGTGTGTTATGTGAAAACTCATGTATCCAATTAGAGGTTGTTAAGACTCTAAATCCAGCCACCCTATTGCCAGTTGATCCAGGCCCTCCGGACCATGACTGTTTACAGGATATGGATGAGGTGCTCTCCAGCTGGCTGGACTTGACTGATCAGCTTATCAGATAGCATGTTTTGTCGGATATGCAATAGTGACTCTGGACACTGTCACTGAAGCATGTCTGCTGCTTGTTGGAACCTCTGCACAAAAGGCTGAGCTCACTGCTCTCACATGGGCAGAAGTGCGGATAAACATCTATATGGACTCTAAATATGCCTTTACTACCATTTATGTCCATGGAGCCCTATATAAAGAAAAGGGGGCTCATTAACTCAGGAGAAAAAAATGTTAACTATGGACAAGGCATTCTGGAATTGCTAGAAGCTGTATGGGCCCCTAAGCAAGTAGCAGTCATGCACTCCTGAGGGCACCAGAAGGGGAAGACAACAGCTGTTTGGGGAAACCAAAAAAGCAGATAGGAAACCAAGTGAGCAGCCCTCACAGGAGGACAAACCTCAGCCTCAGTGACAGCTGCCTTGTTCTTGTTCCCTTTATCTGAAAGGAAACCATGTTATACTTCACCAGAACAGGCTTGGTTTGAGACTGATGGAGAAAGTTTCCTGCCAGGAGGGTAATGGAAATTTGCTAATGGCCAATTCTAGAGTCACTGGCTCTCACATTTGTCAAGCAGTACCATGAAGAAACTCACTCAGTATAGACATCACTCAAGACCATCTTGCCCAGCATTTTTATGTCCCCAAGCCCTCCACTGTAAAACAGTATGTGAGAGGTGCAGTCTGTGTGCCAAAAACATTCCCTGACAAGGTCCAAGTGTGCCACCCCAGGTGCAAAGTGTTGGAGGAACTCCTTTTGAAAACCTGATTGTGGACTTTACTAAGATGCCATGGGCGAGACTATATGAATATTTGCTGGTGTTTGTCTACACCTTCTCAGGATGGATGGAAGCCTTCCCTACTCGGACTGAGAAAGCCCAGGAAGTGCCCAGGTGCCTGTTAAAGGAAATCATCCCTTGGCTCGGAATACCTGTGTCTATTTGATCGAAAAATGGGCCAGCCTTCATGGCTAAGATGATACAATTGGTGGTTAAGGGCTTAGGAAAAACTTGGAAGCTGCACCCAGCCTAGTGCCCCCAGAGTTCAGGGAAAGTAGAACATATAAACAGGACTCTAAAATTGCAATTGGAAAAACTATGCCAGGAGACCCATCTACAATGGGATCAGTTACTGCCCAGAGCCTTGCTCAGGATTAGGTCTAGTCCCATCAAGCAGATAGGTTTCTCCCCTTTTAAAATTCTTTTTGGGCACCCACCCCCCTTTAATCAAGGGTCTGTAAGTTAAGGTAGCAAAGACTATTCCCTGGATCCACCACAGCCAAGTGAAGCCTGCTTCACTCGAATGGGACTGCATCCCTGACCAGCCTCACTGTGCAAGATCACCTTCTGGAACACCTGTGCCCTTTCCAGCAAGACTCTGCTTCCCAGGAGACAACAGGAGACCACAAACAAACGAGATGTCAGCCCTGCTCTTGTCACTCCGCAAGCTGACTAGCCTATGCACGGCAGAAGCTTGAGGTGTTGCCCATTTCACCTTTGAGCATGAGTCCCTTCTATGTTTTCTTCTTGCTAATCTTGGTCAGCTCTCCACCTGTGGACCCCCAGGCCTTAGACTGTGACTCATGTATGCACACTACCTGAGCAAGAAGTGTTGCTATCAAAACTCTGGTTTTCCATACTTATTATTCTTGTGCAGGCACAGTTGTTGGGTCATGCACCCACAACCACACCACCTACTCAGTGTGCTCTCTTGATGGTATATCTATTTTAACCCCATCTATCACCCTTGGGAGCAATGACCAGAGGTCTGAAGCTTCACCAGCACTGGGGAGCTTATTAGCTGGACACAGGTTTACAATCCTGATCTATATGCTCAACTGCATCATTTGGCTTCCAGGCAGAGGTTGAGATTATAACTAATGAAAAAGCAAAAGCCTTTAACATATTAGCTAAACAACAAACTAAAATACACAATGCCATCTACCAAAACCATTTGGCTTTGGACTATTTGCTAGCCTTAGAGGGCAGGGTATGTAAAAAGTTCAATCTGAGTAACTACTGATTACAGCTTGATGATGAGGGGAATGTAATTAAAAAGATTACCAACAAGATGAAAACAGCTTTCTCATGTCTCTGTATAGACCTGGAAGGGACAGAGTCCTGTGACCTGTTCAGGGGCTGGTTCTCAACCCTAGGTGGGTTCAAGACCTTAATGGGGCAACATTCCTTGTCTTAGAAGCATGCTTGATATTACCCTGCCTATTCCCCCTGGTACTGTGGTCCTTTAGGACCTCATTATGGAAGGCATTATAAAAAGAAAGACAGCTACTGGTGTAATGATGCTGTGAAAATATAAATCTCTAGATTAAGATGATGCTCTTTTACCCAGAAGTGGGTTTGAGCATCAAAGTAGGGATTGTGGCAGGAAGGCAGAGAGGGGGAAGGGAAATGATAATGAGTGCAACAGTGAAACAAACAAACAAAACATGGATTTGAGGACTGTCACCTGACCAGAAGGGTCACCTTGCCCCACTAAATTGGCCAATGAAATATTATGTGACAATGTATTGAACAAGATGTACCCCCCCACTTCTGTAACCTGCTCTAAATAGTATATAAGGAGAAACCCCTTTGTTCTTGGGGCTAATCTTTGGATGCAAATCCACTGAGTTGCTGCTGGCCTGCTTAATAAACTTGCTTCCCAAAAACTGGTGCTCTGTCTCTCTGTCTCAGCCATCCTACAACAATATTTAAGCATACAGTCTTGTGGCATCAAGAACATGCACACTGTTGTAGAACCATCACTATCATTTACCTCCAGAACATTTTCTTCTTTCCTTCCTCTCGGCCTCTGGTAGTCAACATTCTACTTTCTATCTCTATGAATGTGACTACTCTAGGTACCTAATATAAGTGGAACTAGGCAGACTATATATTAGGGAAAGTTCAGGGACTTAAAAACTGTACAGCCTTAGATCACCACAGTCGCCCCTCCCTTATTCATTCTTTCTGTGCCCAGAGAGCTCCATTTCAATTGCAGATCCTTTGTTAAGTAAGAGTAGAAATAGGGTACCCGAGAATTAGTGTAAGTGTATGCATGGGTGCCCCCAGTTCCTCACCCTGGCCCAAGACCACTGAAGACAGGGAATGATACATTTTTGCCCAATGACAAGTTAAGGTTGATATAAAAACCACCTACAATAAAAATTCTTCCCTTTTTTTCCTGCATGCTGCATCTCCATTCCACCTGACAGAGACCATACCTGTAATCCCCTAATTCTTTTCCTATAATAAAATTCCATTATTTTCCTCACTACAAACAACCATGTGTTGTGCTTCGATTCTTCCTTGCCAGAGCTCAAGGAACCAAATCTTCTGATCAGAATCATCAGCAACTTCAAAAGAATCATAAAATACCTGTATTTTGTAATTGGCTCTTTATACTTAGCATAATGACTTCTGTTAGGTCCCTGGCATTCTTGTGACCGCTTGCCAAACTTCCCTGCTTGTTCCCCTGCTTGCAATATCTCAGGAACTTCCAGTTTCTCAACTAGCTGGGCATGTCAACCAGTTCCATCTGGGGATCACAGATAATTGAAGACCAGAGACTCTCTCCCTCTCCCATGGCTTGGTCCCCTCCTATAAAGCCCACTACCCACTGCAGCCAAGCTACTGCTCCCTGATCTCGAGGGGGACAGCCCAGCAGTCTGTAATAAATCTTTCTTTTCCACACGTGGTGTGGTCTTTATTCAGCAGCTCCTTACATCTGGTGCTGAAACCTGGGAGAGGTTAACAGGATGCTCTGGCCCAGGGCTGCTCCCTTGGCTTTCTTGTCCTACCCTCTCCTGAACCCAGACTGCTGAAATGACCCCACGTGATTATGGACTATGGATCTCGGACCTTACTGCCTTGCTGGCTTTCCTATCCATCATTAGTTTCTCTTCCACTGCTCTCCACCTCACCAACTCCTCTCCTCAGACTTGGTAAGTGTCACCCTTCTCGGGGCTGCCTGCTCTCTCTCTCTCTGGTATCAGAAGTCATAGTGCCTTGCCATATATGCCTCCTACGCCTGCTGGGGCACCCACCACTTAGCACAGGGATGCCTGGGTAACTGGTTGGGCATTCTCTGTTGGACGCCCGCCCTTGGGAACCTCCCTCTCTCTCTCTCTCTCCTTCTCTGTTTTCCTTTCCTCCGCCTAGGGTGAGAGCTCGACAGCCCCCTCAGCTTACTTTGACCAAACAGCAACCAGATGATTCTGCTCTCCTTGCCTGAGTCATGTAAGGGAGGCTAGATCTTGACCTAGCTCTATATTGGCCTGAAGAGTAAACTCACCAAGGCACCTGCCTCTCTCTCTCTTTTCTTCTACATTATGGGGACCACATACTCTACATTAGATGTGTCCACTGGGATGCCTTTTCCACACCCTCCCCTTAGTCTCCAAGACAACATAAAACCTAAGTGACTAATTTTCACACACTTTTAGATCTTGATAATTTTTGCCATCACAATGGCAAGTTGTCCAAAATTCCATTCATCCAAGCTTTTCCTTCTCTCCGCTTTTGACCCTCCCTGCTCCAATCTTGTAACGCTGTTTGAATCCTCCTTGCCAGTGACAAGCCCCCTCAAAGTCTGTGTCTCTCCTCCCACTGAACCCTCTCCTGAAGGCTCTTCTCTTACTTGTGACCTCACGGGCCCTGTCTGCCCACCTCCCAACTCCTCCCGCTAGTCCTCTACATCAATCTTTTCTCCCACCCCATCCTCCCATGACTCAGACTCCCCTTCTTCCACCCCTGCTGGCTCTTCCAAACATCTGCCACCCTATTCCCCTTCTGTAGTAGTCACAATTGACCCTGAGTCATCAGCCCCTCGGGGACCAACACCGCCAACATTGCCCTCAGCCACTGCTACACCCTCACCCTTCTCCTTCCTACTTGCGTCCCATACCTCCTCCCAGGCACGTCCAGCCCATCTGTACCCACTCCGGGAAGTGGCGGGAGCTGATGGCATTATGAGTCCATGTGTCCTTTTCCATGACTGAACTCTCTCAAACTGAAAAGAGACTTGGCTCCTTCTCTAATGACTCAGCCTCCTATATTAAAGAATAAATACCTAACCCAAGCATGTGATATGACTTGGCATGAGACCCATCTTCCAAGGATGGAATAATTTTTCTCAACTCTCATTTTATTTCCCAATCCTTCCCTGATATTCAAAGAAAACTTAAATAGGCAGGGAGTGGCCCCCAACCCCCTCTCCGGGGAGATCTTGTGAAAATGGCATTTAAGGTATTTAATAGCTGAGAGGAGGCCCGATACCAGCGAAAGGCCCAGCTCTTGGCGGCTGCCCTGAGGCCACCTCCTCCAACTTCGAGATGGGTTGGACAACAACACATACCTCCAGGGGCCTGCTTCAAGTGCAATCAGACAAGACATTGGGCAAAAAACTGCCCTTCATTTTACCCGCTGCCAGGACCTTGTCCACAATGTGGTCAGAGAGGACACTGGAAGGACAACTGACGCTCTTTGTCTCTGCAAGGTAGGTCAGTCTCCCATTCCCACTCTCAACAGAGTGAAGGCCTCACGAGGGACCTCTTGGGCCTGGTGGCAGAAGACTGATATGGCCCTGGGACCTCAGTCCCCTTCAAGATCACCTCAGAGGAGCCCAGAGTAATGGTCCAAGTAGCAGGTAGGCCTCAATCACCTGCTTGGTGCTACCTGACTTCTCAGGTAAGCTTTATCCTGCACAGATCTCCATGGTGGGGGTGAATGGTCTCCTCCACCAGACAAAAAAAAAAAAAGACAGTTTTATTTAAATTTAAAATTCTTACGGGGTAAACGTCAATGTGTAATAAAGTTAAAGTTGGCTATAATCTAAGAATTGCCTAAAAGATTTTTAATGTCATGTCAAACTAAAATCTCATTCTCTATGTCCATAAAATAACAAGGCTATTTTAATACTGTTCTGCTCTGAGTAACATCTACAAAAAAATATTATAGGGAAGCATTTTATCAAAGAAATTTATTTGTGTTTTCTGTTGACCTTGTCAAGCTGTCAGCACTACTAAATCAGAGTTCATTTATGTATTTGCTCATGTGCCTTAAATGACCACCTTATAACAGTGTTGTGTCTATACCTTATCTAAATATGGCACAAACATTTACAAAGTTAAAAATGTAAATTTATATAAAATAATGAGCTAAAGCACTCTTTTATCCAAAAGTGTTACATTTAACCTGCATCTTGACAGTCAGCCCATTTGCCTTTAAAGATTCCACAAACCCTTCACAGCAACTAACCTGGACAGTTTTACCACAAGGGTTTAGAGACAGCCCTCATCTTTTTGGACAGACCCTAACCAGAGACTGATTAGATTGGCACTACCCAGAGGCCACCCTTCTTCAATATGTTGATGACCTATTTCTGTGCAGAGCCACAGAGCCCCTGATCTGCAGGGTGAGAGTCCCTTTTAAACATTCTGGCCTCCGGGGATACAACGTCTCTAAGGAGAAGGCTAAATTATGCCTCCCTCAGGTCACCTACCTAGGCGTGGTCTTAAAGAGACAGACTCACTCCCTGAGTCATGAGGGAATTGACCCAATCCTCTATTTCCCACTTCCCTGTACCAAATATCAGCTTATAGCTTTCTTGGGAGTTACAGGATTTTGCAGAATCTGGATCCCTAGATATGCAGCCCTTAGCACACACCTTTTTATGCTCCTTCTAATATTTCTATTTGGGTTTTACATAATAAATGCTCTCAAGATTGTTTCCCCTCCCCTATGAAGGTGCAAACCAAACCAGTTCACCTGAGAAAGTCCACAAATCCATGGCTAATGAGAAAAACCCACCACCCCAGACCATCCCCCGAAGCCCTTCCTTCTTGAGCCCCTTTGAAATAATGTATGGCCACCCATATCTCTTAGGAAACTTGCCTCCAACAGACTCTGCTCCTCTGGCTGACTATCTACCTTCTCTTAACCTCCTCCGGGAACTTCTCAGAGAGCATGCGGACCAGATCCTGCCCACCCCTCAGAGGGCCCTATAACAATTTCTATTAAACCAGGGGATCTTGTTCTCCTAAAGGATCTTGACCCTCTCCATTGGAACTTAAATGGACCAGCCCTCATCTGGTCATCCTCACAATGCCCACTGCTGTCAAGCTAAATGGGATCCCCCAGTGGCAGCACCTTTCAAGGATAAAACATTGCCTACCAACTTCAGACTCTTCCACTATAACAAAGGATGAATACTCTTGCATACCGCTCGGCCCCACACAGCTACACCTCTCCCGCAAACTCTCTCCCTCTTCCACTCCTACATAAGTTGTTAGTCCTCATCTGGCTCTCGATTTTCTGCCATAAGTGGATTTAAAACACACATAGGGGCAGTGGGCCTAATTCTGGGACCATACATAGTACTTCCCTGCTTCCTTCCCTTGGTTATATGATCTATTAGGTCCATTATAGAGGCTACTACAGAAAGAAAAACACCTGCACATGTAATGATGCTATGGAGATACAAACCCTTAAACCAGGAAAATGCTCTTTAATCCTAGATGCCTCCAGGATCGCCTAGGGGAACTCAGCAGACTTCCCACCAGATGTTACTACAACCTTCTCCCAACACCTGGCTTTGTCTGCAAATGAAGCCTGGGAAAAACCATCAGCCTCTGCTTCTGGGGACCTCACAAATTTCCAAATTCCAGCAGAACCCCCCTTAATGATGCCCCCACTCAGCACAAAGCAGCTAGATCAATCAGTGCCCATAATACCAATAAACGGCTGGAATGTTAGTTCCCTGGCATTCTTGGGGCAGTGGAAGGTCCCAAGGCTAACACCAAAACCAGACCCCCTAATTTGTGATTGCTTGCCGAACTTCCCTGCTTGTTCCCCTGCTTGTTTCCCTGCTTGCAAAATCTCAGGAACTTTCTCAACTAGCTGGGCATGTCGACATGTTCCATCTGGTGATCACAGATAATCGAAGACCAGAGACTTTCTCCCTCCCCAATGGCTTGGCCCCTCCTATAAAGCCCACTACCCACTGCAGCCATACTGCTGCTTCCTGATCTCGAGGGGGACAGCCCAGCAGTCTGTAATAAGTCTTTTTTTCCACACATGCACGGTCTTTATTCGGCAGTTCCTTACAACTTCAAAGTTCTGAACATAGAATGTTTTTGTTCCCATCACTGGAAACTTAGGTTGTTTCTATCTCTTGGTTACTGTCAATAATGCTTCTAGCCAAGCACTGGTGGCTCACACCTGTAAACTTAGCTACACCGAAGGCAGAGATCAGGAGGATCAAGGTTCGAAGGCAGCTGCGTTAAATAGTTCACAAGACTCTACCTGAAAAAAGTCCATCACAAAAAAGGGCTGCTAGAGAGGCTCAAGGAGTAGGCCCTGAGTTCAAACCCAAGCACTACACACAAACAGACACACACACACACACACACACACACACACACACAAATGCTGCTAAAAACATGAGTATATAATGTAAATACATAACAGGTACTTAGAAACTGCTTTTGCTAAAAAGCACTGACTCCTCACTTGGGTCTACAAAGTAACTAAAAGCAGGTAAAAGTCTGACATCTCTTTATTTCATTTTGCATCTGTTTCCTTTCATAAGGAGGACAACCAAAAGGATTTTGGTGCTTGCTGGCTGCACTGCTGACTACTTTACTGTACTACTTATTCAAAGATTCAAACTGACATCTTTTCCTTATTCTCTCCTCCATCCTGGTAAGCTGAAGATTAACATTCTTTCAACTAACCCCCTTATCTCTCTTTGACTAGAGGAAGAAAAAAAACCTGTCAAACAAAACAAACAACTTCAGAGATGTGGTACCAGAAAACCAGGAGCTAAGAGCCAAGTCCACCATGTAGTCTTGAAGCATGTACTGCTTCACACACCCCCAGAGCTGATGCCACATTTCCTCAGAAGCCAGACATTTTCTCTCAGGAGGGTGACAGCATTTTAAGAGTGGATCTCACTGTCCTCCTTATTTACCTAATGAATTAAAAAAAAAATCATAGTATTTGTTTTCCTCAAAAAAACCCAGCTCTCATTACTTATAAATCAGCATCAAGTCCATAAATCAACATCAAGTCCAGAGACTCAACTTTTAGTAAAGACCTTCAGGATCAGATTCCTGCTTCATTCTGTGTGTAGGCATGTTAATATTGAGGCAGGTTAGAATTAGGGAAAGTTTGGGACTGAGAACCCTCCCTGACTCACCTGAAGAGCTCCATTTTAATTACAGTAAGTTAGAAAAAATGGAACTTCCTCCCTCATGGGTGGGGCACCTGAGAATTAACATAGGTGTAAGGAGGGAGTTCCCTCAGATCCTTCCCAACTCAAAGGTCAATTGGGCCAGGTAATGATACATAATCTCTCCCCTCCAAGTTTAAGGTGATAAACCACACTCTCCGCTCCGGGCCCACCAACACCTGGCCCCAGAATTACCCATGCCTCTCCCCACTCACTGATTACAGGATTGGAATCACCTGGTCCCTCCCTTCCCATGGTCTGAGTAAGTTTGAAAAGCACTTGAAGGGAAGCATGCACTATCTCTACCTCCAGATTCCACCAAGGCCCTATAATGCTCCCTTTTGTATTTCCCTTCCCTGACTTTTAATGAACTCCATTAACACCCATGGGTGCTGCCAAGGATTCTTCCCTGTGGGTCACAAAGAATTTGGAGTCTTCCGATCACCGTCTCCACCTGTTGT